CTCCTCCTCTGTCGAAGTTGATTTGGTATTGGAGGGTGGGATTTTTCGAGTGTCGCATGTTCTGACCCCCTGTGTGTGTTTGTGTGTGAGTATAGGCACCCCTTCTGTAGATAAAAAATCTTGTCACTTAAAACGTGATCACTTGTCCTGTTAAATCGGCAAAAACTGTATACAGCTGACCAGATTTAGAATTTTTATTCTAGTCGGAAAAAAAAACAGATTCGAGGGTACAAGCTAACGATAACTGCGTATCACCTGCTAAAAAAAATATGTAAAAATTGCCCTGAATGTTTGGTGATTGCATATTTCAAAGACGGTGCTAAGTGTTGTGTGTCTTAATCAAGGCATTAAAACTCACCTGGAAGCCAAAATTTAAAATCTCTCTAGTATCTCTGCAAAGGTGCGACTGGGCACTTTTGTTTTTCCAATAAGCATTGTTCAGGATTTGTGACTGACGTCCTTTGATAGCGATTGTTAGTGCTAAATATTGCCATACGCGAGTATACGTCACGTCGTCACGTTACTAGTACGAAGTACGAACCAACCTCACCGAAATAAAAATAAAATATAAAAAGGCGCACTGCTCGGCCGTGTACGCGCAGTGTGTCACATAATGACAGGCTGCTGCTGCCCGCGGCGGCCCCCCTCGGGGCCGGCCGGCCCGCCCCGCCCGCTCGGCCTGTGCGTACCAGAGGCGTTTAAAAATAACCGTCTTTCTCTCATATGTAGGTTTTAATTTGGCGTAATAGTCGCCTGGCGGGACGCCTGATTTCTCTCCATTGCCGCGCCGCTGCATGCAGTGATGCAAAGTGGCTACTCGCGCCGGCTGTGGAGGGAGGCAGTGGAGGGTTGCAGTGGCGGCTGCAGTGGAGGGCTGCAGTGGGTGGTTGCAGTGGAGGGCTGCAGTGGAGGGCTGCAGTGGAGGGTTGCAGTGGTGGCTGCAGAGGCTGATGCAGTAGACAGTTGCAGTGGCGGCTGCAGTGGGTTGTAGTGGCAGCAGCAGAGGTAGCTGCCGCCACAGCGGCTCTGTGCGCGGCAAGGTGCGCGCGCGGAAAGGGGCGCCGCCGCGAGGGACTGCACAGAGTATTGACACTGCGCCTCGATACTCCGCGATCTCGGGGCGAATGCATTACTGGCCGTGTTTTTATTGCCGTCAACAAGAGCCGAGAAAGGTCGAATCGGCCCGTGCATCGAGCGGGGCGATAGCCATACGCAGATCGGCCCGCCCCGACGAGCACCCTTCTGCTGCTGCTGCTGCTGCTGCTGCTGCTGCATAGCAGCATGCGTCCACGGCGACCTCCTGACGTCACGGCGGCCCATATTGCACAACCGACGACGTCACAGCGTCGCAATGCGGGTCATGTTGGAAAGAAAATTGGCTCTGCTAAGTCGTGTGTTGGACGTCGCGGCGGACCCCCTCCCTCCCGCCCGCAGGGACGCCCAGTTCAGTGGCCGACGCGACGCGCCTACTATCCGCCCGCGCCGCGCCACCCCGCCGCCCGTCGCGGATTAGTTTGTTGATTCTGTGCCGCCTCGCCCAGCAGCAGCAGTCGCCCTCCCCCGTCCTGGCAGGTTTCTCGTGTCGTGGCGCTCCTGCCGCTCCAGCGCTAGAAATGGAGTGGCGCGGCCCGCAGCCTGCATGGCCTGTCTAGGCTATATCGGGACGCCGGCTAAAAATACCCGTCCAGTGCCGCGTGTCGTGTACGTCCCTACCAGGAGGCGGCCGCTGGCGCTGGCCTGGGCCGAGGGGACACCTGCCGCTGCCTCCAGGGGGCCGGCGGGCGCGGGTTGGTCCAGGTTGGTCCACCCAACCCTGTACGTCACCGCGGGGCAGGACCCGGAGGACACCGTGACCTTCCGGGCGCGGTGTCCTTGTTCCCGCATGACGATGTCCTTCGTGCGCCAGGCATGTCGTGGGCACACTCTTAGTTCCTTACACTGCTGCGTATTCACAGTTACACCCGGAACCAATGATCTAAAGGAGCCACATTACGAACGATTTTCCTCAAAATTACGAACAGCCCGTGTTCGTAATACAAAAAGCCTCGTTTGTAATACAAACCAGGCTCTTCGTAACACAAACAATTTGTTTGTAGTATACTAGTATAATGTTCCAAACCCTTTGTACGTTGTTCGTGAGAAACTTCCAGAGCAGGACCTAACTAAACTTTCTGTATGTCCCTGTGTGTAGTGTACGTACCGGTGTGTATTGTCTCTCTCGTTTACATGGACGCGGACATCTTCTGACGCGTGGACCCGAAATCGCGGACGATATATACAAAACGAGCTGCGAGACACCCTGTGTCAAAAAGAAACGGGAGAAAAAGAATATGGAATATGGGGTGGAAAAAATGAAAACAAATGCGACGCGGTGGTGTTGCTGCGTGGCGGTTTTAAAATGGCATCGTTTGGCTAGTTTACGGTCTCGCTGCCGCGCCGCCGCCGCCTGCCTCCCGTTCGGCCTGTCCAGGCCATAATGTGGCTATTTTACGGCTGAGTTTGACGCAACGCTAAGCCGGCCGGCAGGGGCAGGCCCAGGCCATGCGGCTGGAGCGGCTCTCCTCCTGGACGTCCGGCTTGGCCCGGTCAGGGCCCGGCTGGGCCTCTGCTCGGCTCGGTGCCTCCCCCGCCGCGCTCGCGGGCCTCGCGGCCTTGGCGGCTTACTCCGCGGTGCTTCGCGCCCTCCCGGCGATGGCCCTCCCCGTTCCGTGTCACGCTGGTCACGACGCGGCAGTGCGCGGCGACGACACGCCCTGGTAATGGCGCAGAAGCGCAGGCAAGGTCGGCGTCGTCGGGAGCGGGGAGTGCGAGAGTGGGCACGGCGTGTGTGCCGCCCTAACCCGTCGCCGGGGCCGGGTCGAGTCCCGGAGCGCTGACCTGCCTCTAGTTCTACGACGCCGGGACGGGGGGCGGGGCGGAGTCCTTCCCTTGGGCCGGGCAGCAGGCTGGGCTTGCGTTGCGTGATGGCGTGGCGCTGAGCTGCGCTGCGCCGGCCGGCCGGGGCCCCGAGAGCCAGGCGGGGCGGGGCGTGGTGCGGGGCCGGCGCGCATTCCTGAAGCAAGAGCTGCACCGCTGCACGGCCCCAGCCCCGCCCGCCGCCCCGGCCTGCTAGCCCCGCTCATCAGCCCCAGAGCCTCCAGGATCATCGGCCCGAGCACCTTGTGCAGGGAGCCCGCCGACTTTCAGCCGCGGGCCAGACCAGGAACCCCTTGGTGTCGGATGCTTCGGGTCGCCCCTGGGGTCCATCAACCCAGGAACCACCCAGCCCTAGAGAGCTCAGAGCTTAGGGCTCTCAGGTCAACCGACACTCAATAATGTGCTCTGGAACCTGGCGTTTCCTGGGGGAACCTCCGCTCAGGGGTCATCCCTCCTCAATCTGCAGACAGAAGCCCTGATGAAGGCTCCCCCGCGGCGCTAGTCGAGGCGGAACTGACGACTGTCCTGCTGTCACCGACTGTCTTCTAGCCCACCACCTGCTGCAATAGGCGGGGTCGCAGGCCTCTCCTGCCGGCCTGCTGGGCCTGCCGACTGCCTGCTGGCGAACCTGTTTGCAGCAGGATCTGAGACGGGCTGATCTCATCTGTTGCCCTCAGCTGCCGCCGCTGGACCTGGATCCTGGATGCTTTTGTGCCGGCAGCTCGACTCGTGAGAAAGGGTTCGGCAGAGCTGCGCCTGAGCGTTGCGTCGCTGCAGCGAAAGGGGCAGATCGAGGGGGAGGAGAGGTGGGGAGAGGGCACGAGGACACGCGGTGAGCTCGTGCTGTCCGCGTGTCCAAGTCCGCCCGTCCGTCCCGTCCTGCCCTACCCTGCCCGCCCGAGGGACGCGGCAGCAGCCGGACAGTCGCGTTTGGAAACTCTCCCTGCTGCTGCAGCATCTGAGGGTTTTCCTCTCAGTTCACTCACGCAACTCTCAAATTTTACTCTCCCTAAACTCTGTCCAGCCAGCCGCGGCAGTGTGCGTTAATTTTATAGGCAGTTCAGTTCATGAAGGCAGAGAGAAAAGGGGGGAACAAAAATGTGAACGCGCCAATGTCGAAACAGGGCGTGGCCCCTCCTTGCCGCTGTCTCGTCTCGATGATACTGCTCGGGCCACCTCGGTAGGCGGGGTAGAACCGCCCGCCCGCACCCTCACCACCTTTCCTTGCACGTTTGAACGTCGGCCGCAACATCATACCACGGCGAATTTCTATGGCACTGCTCGGACCTGACGTTCCGTGGGTTTGGTGCATGGTGCTCGCGTACCTTCCAGCCCTGCAAAGCTCACGCCTTCATTCCCTTCCCATACCCCCTGCAATCAAACGCCTCTTCCCTTTTGCTTTTCAATGGCACGGCAGTGCCCATACCCCACTCCTCTCTGAACCTCCCTCCCCCTCTCTCATACCAACCACGCACCACGCCTGCTCTGCCCTCTGGGAGCATCGCTACTCCAGCCTCCAGCCATTCTTCAGCGTTATTGACCCGAGTAGGTCTCGGGAGGTGGGGGTTGAGGGGGCTCCTGCTCTTCTCCACTCCTCCCCGAATGAGGTTGGGTGCATGGGTATGTGATTGGCTACCTAGAGAAAAATGCCTCACTGAATTCCCCCTGTGGAACCAATTTTTACTCAAATACCTCTTCAAATACCTCCACAAGGGTTAGTTACCTCTTTGAGTGCAAATAAAATACCTTGCGTATTGCGTCCACAATTTTGTCCATTGTCATTTTCAATTTTTCTTTAAAAGTACTATTTCCTCTTAGGTGCGGTGGCGAATCTCATACCCTCTTCAAAAGGCTACTATTATCAAACCGTATTTTAAATACACGATGGTGTGGGACCGCCAGGGGGACGCCGGTGGCTGCCTGGCAGCTGGCCGGTGTGCCTCAGGACCAGCGGGTGGGGGGCAGGCTCCGGCTCGGCTCCGCCCGTCACGACTCGACTCTGGCCCGCTCTTGCTCGGCTCGGCTCCTCAGTCCGCGGGCTGGCCGGGTGTCGTTGACTCTCTCCGCGCTGCTCCGCACTGCTCCGCCGAGTCTCGAGGCGTGCCGTCGCGTATCCCCGGCGTAGCCCATACCGCAACACTCGCGTGTCCTGCCGTGCCTTGTGTGCACTCGCGCGCGTCCCTGCGCACGCGCGCGCCTGTGTGTGAGTGTGTGTAAGCGTGAGTGCGTGCATGCGTGCGCCCGCAAGTGCTTGTGCGTCTAGCTCATCATCAGCATCACGAGGACCACCACCAGCAACGGCATTGTCAAGCGCCCTGCTAAACGTCTCGTCTCGCCTTCATCACTTGTGATATGGTGTGTTGAGAAGTGTGAAGTGCGACGAGAAGACTCCTCAAGCTTGGCTGCTGCTACTCCCGCTGCTCCTGCTGCTGCTACAGCCACCGATAGAACTCGCTCACTTCGGATGTAAAGTCGCCGGGACGCGCTTATTATTGACCTTTTTGCATCAGATTTCTTTAGCCGCCTCCCAAAAGTCCCAATCCCAATCAGAATCGTACGTCCCGTTAGGCACACGACACTGTGTGCGTGTGTGTGCGAAGGGGCCCACAGACACACCTGCGGCCGACCAGCCAGGCGGGCAGCGGGGAGGCTCTGCCTGGAGGCTCGGCTCTGGCTCGGCCTGCCCGTTCCGACTGGCACTGACACACTTTTCTCCCCAATAATGTCTGTTCCTCCTTATTGCCAGGGGGCCGGGCCACCCCTCACTCGCCCTCACTAAAATTGCCAAACGAGCTAAGGACAGAGTGGCGTATTGTGCCTTTTTAAAACTGCGGGACTTCAATTTTGCTATTTCGCGAAAATAAGTATTTTCTGGGGCATTTCCATTTGTGGCTTCATAACCAAACGCAGAGCCCCCTGGTGCTACATATGGGAGACGGTGAGGAGGGAGAAGGGGGGGTCTCTTTACCCTCTGCTAGTAGAGACAGTCTTGGGGACTGTCTAAGAAATCAGGGTCCAAATAAGTGTACTAGCCCGCTTGAGGTCGACGTCACTAGCGACTAGCGACTTTCGGGTACGAATGCTCACGCATGCGGTCGACCATGCTCATTTGCTCCAAGGGGTCATGTCATGCCCGTCCGCCATTCCCTGTTACGATCCTGTCTAGTTCAGATCATGCTCGCTTTCAAAGCGCCTTGTAGGTAGGCAATATCTTGCCTGCAATGCATGCGTGTACCGCGGGGTGGCCTACCCGCAGTCACGCAGGCGCTGAGCTCCCGTCGCTGGCCGGTTCCCTCGCACCCCCTGCGCTTCCTCCCCCGCTGCGCACAGCGACGGTCCTCTTCGCCCGTCGTCGTGCCCGTGTGTGTGTATCGCTGTCACTCGGGCCGTGACTCATACCTGCGGTGCTCGTTAAAGCGAGGCATGCAGCGCACCGGTGCGCTGTTGTGCGCGGCGGCCGTGTGGTCGCGCTTCTCAGAAGCTCCGGGCTCCTCCCGCCGCCGCATGACGCCCGCGCGTCGATATTCTGGGGGGCAGCGCTTGTAGGGCGGACGAGCGCCGCAACCCTTCCGCCCCACCTCGACCCATGACAACCATCGTATGGATAATTATCTGAAACCCATTTTATGGTTCTGCTCAAGGACAGAAGTAAATAAATGATGTAGGAAGCATCATGTGGTTGTAAGAAACCGAAACCAAATGGTTTCGTCCATTGCCCATTCTCGATTTTCTCCAACCATCAATTTATGGGTTTTCTACGATGACATCTACAGTCTTTCAATTCTCCTGGTGCCTCCTCCCTCCTTCCTTCCTGGGCGTTTTTCTAGCGGCAATCAGAGTTGTCTGCGGTCGCTCTCCGGCTCGCAGCTCTCTGGACCATTTGCTCGTTCAAATCTCCATTGAGTCAATTATATTTTTTTCGTTTGTGTTTTCTTTCTCGCGGTGCGCTGCCTGTCTGCCGGATACGGATGGGACTTGCAGGATTGTCTCTGGCGAGCGCGCGGCGCGCGGACGAGACACAACCGAGACTCAATCACCCACAACCGGGCGCCTCCTGGAGCCGGGGATGGCGCGTCGCTCGCTCTCACTCCCCCTCTTTACCTCACTTTCGGTCCACCTTATCCCATCACGTCTTAAACTCTTTGTGTAATTAGCGCACTTTCCTGGCCGGTCCAGCCCCGCCCCAGTGCGGTCCGCCACGCGCCGCGGTGTGTGTTGTTCACGGCAGGCTGCATCCGCTCGCCGAGTGCGATGCGCCCCGCTCCGCCACGCCCCGCGCGCAGCGCAGCAGGCGGCAGCTGCTGCCGCTGGCTCTGCTCTTGCTTTTGCTCGAGGTTTTGTTTCCACGTGAAAAGTGGGTCGCTGCATGGCCTTGACCCGATTCGACCCGATGCACCACCACCTCCGCTATACCTCCGACTCCACCTTCGGCACCGCGCCGCCGCGACGCCCTTCAGCCGGATGTGCAGTTGCCGGACCAGTCACGTGCTCTCGCTTTCGCCCGCGCCGCACTGTTGAAAAATGCACCGTCTCGATTCACGGACTTTTTATATGGGATGACGTCCTCGTTTATCAACAACAACAATGCCGTTTTACTGCAAAGCGGCAAATTTCTTGTACGAAGGACGTCGACGTTGTCCATTAACTTTACATATGTCTGTCGTCCTTAGAGGGCTGGATGATTTCCGCGGTTACAAAATGTGGCATAAAGCGTTTAACAAATTTTGCTTAACTTGTCAAAAGAAATGTAAAATTTACGTTTTTATCAGTGGCGGATCAGCGCGCGTCGACGAAATGATTTGAAAAGCGTGCGTTGCCGGCGGGCTGGAGGGAAACAAATCGTAATGATTATTCTTTTATGCGTAATGCGCCGCCAAACATGTGTCACGTGCGTGTACGGCGGGTGTCGTTTTGGGTCGCATCGCCGCCGCCTCTGTCTGATCTCGGCGCGAGTGAACGCGAGCGCGAGCGCGACCCCTGTGCCGTGCAGCTAGACAGCGGCGGCGGGCGAGGCGCGGGAGCGCGCGGACGACACTTACTAGCGCCCCGCCACGCCCTGCCACGCCCTGCCCCCCCTCTCCCCCATCTCTCCCACCCCCCTGCGGGTGTTGCGCAATCCAACATAACGTCGAAGGATGACGGCCCGCCCTCCCGCGTCGCACGACGTGCCGGCCGCCCGCAGCAGACGACATGGCACATGGTGGCCCACCCCGGCGACGCCCCGCAGCCCGGCGCGCCCTGCTGGGGATATTCCGCCGGCAATAACGTGCGTGGCAGATCGACCCTCATAATACCTAAGGCCCGAGCCTCGCCGCGTCCCACCCCG